TCTAAGGCCTTATTAAGGGTAAATTCTATTGTTAACCCTTAAGACCCTTAAGAAGGCCTTAATAAGGGTTAATTTCCTAAAGCGGAAATGACCACACAAGAAGTAACTGCACTTCATAGTCATCCTCCAAACCACTGAGTGCCCCATTGTCCGTCTCTCGTTGCTTTCTGCCGCAGCGAGAGGCTCCATCATGAGAGCCTCTCAGGCAAACAACTATTTCTGGGGGTTTGCTGACAGGATTGGCAACTTTACTGCCAAATAGCAATGCAAGAGAGCGGGGGAAATTTTCTTTGGCTGTGAGGTTTCTTACCCACCTTCCAGTCAACCTCAGGAAGAAGAAGCGGGGAGAAAAACGAAGACATAATGGGCCTACTTAATTTCACGTGACCATATTAAGGCTTAATTAAGGGCAAGAAAATTCCTGTTCATCGTTAAGGGTTAATATTAAGCCCTTATTAAGGCCTACCCTTAATTAACCCTTAATCCTTAACTGCAACACTGTCTCAGGTCGTCAACTTGAATTGCCTCTGGAGTCTGCACGAAAAGGTGCGAGGTTGTCTATGTGCAAATTTTGCTAGACGCGTTCGAATTTTGCATGGTCGTAAACTGTGTTCCTTCAAACAAATTTTAACAAAGTGTGCTGGAGTGGCGAGTGCAGTGCAAATCTATCCTCAGAGACAGACACTGGGCTACCAGCAGCTTTCCCCGCCCATCTTGATTGGCGTGGTAAGTATACGTAGTATTAAATATATCCAGGCCGGCATAAGCGACAGCCACTTGTTTATTCAATCAGCCGAGCCGAGTTGCGTGGGCTTCACCAGAGGCGCGGCGCGAGTCCGAAGGGAGCGGCACGTTGTTATGGATGACCGATGGCCGGGCGCGGCATGTTCACGGCATATATCAAATTCGTGCGGAGCGTTCACAGAACCGCATCCCATCCGGAGGTTCGAATTAATTGAATTGTCTGCGAACATACTTGCTAGTAGTTCCACTTTCTAGTTGTATCCGCCAAACCCGGTTCTTTGATTACTTGTCATAAAGCTCAGCGCTCAGCGCTCGGTACTCAGTACTTCAAGCTTCATTGACAAGCTTCGAGTTGAAGACTGTGCAATGGAGTCAGCTTTCAAACAAAGTATCACCTGAACCGCAGAGAATTTGAGGTTCCGGCCGCAAGGTACGTAAGTATACCTTCAAGTTCTACTGTACTATTTCGCTCAATTCTAATCCACTGTGACCTGTGACCCGGCCATTCGAACTTGAGATTTCGAAAATGGGCTGGGGTGGCCGTGACACCTCAAAAAATTCGAAAATGCAGCGGGAAGTGGCAGGAAATCTTCTCTGACAGCTCTGACAGGTCACTCAGTGCCTTCAGGACGATTTAGAGTACTTGTGCAGCGTAAAACATTATCAAATCAAAGGGGTAACATCATAATGTACGGCCGTAGCCGTATAGTACGCGATCCCTAGAACTTCAACTACCACTAGTAGTAGTCCCGATCACTTCAAACTCGGCGTTTCGTGAGAGGCCGCGATGTGAGGCGAAAAATCGATTATTTGAGACATTTTCGGCGATTTTGTGACCTGTTTTCAACTTTCGAAAATCCCCACTAAATCCCCTCGGTGACCCGTGACAGGTTCGAAAATATTCGAAAATTTTTGGCCCTGTGACCCGTGACATCCGAATTGACCGAAATAGTACAGTATGGGGTCACGGAGACAAGTTCAAGTTTTTGATGGCATGGCGACCGTCCGTCTACACCGTGTCGAGGGTTCAATACCGTATGTTGACTCCAGGCCAAATGGTATGTGCGACTCGCAATTCAGAAACATTGTTGAAAATTTATGTTTCAAGGCTGAGTTTACTTCAATCCCGGTTACTTTTGCATCATTCCGAGTACTGTACTAGGCAGCTGCAGATGGGAGTGGTTCAGTAGTTCACTGCACATGGTCGGCGAAATAGGCAGTCCAAGACTTCCTTGTGGCGCGTTTATCAATATGAAGCGTACTCGGCGAGCCAGACTCATCCAAAGCTTATTTGCTGACGTCAGTCCAGCCATTAGCAACGTCGGTCTCGGGGACTCGGAGGCAAGGGTGAGTTTCTCTGGAGCTGAAGTTGTGCCTTGAGCGGCTGGCGCGGGCTTTTTGTATACAAATACTAACACCAAGTTCACTACAACGTTGCGCTGCCCACCGTGCGGCCCGTGCCCTCTCACAAGAGATTGCCACTGTGTGGAGTCCTCTTGTGCCACAAACCGCGCTGGTGATTCAAGTAATGCAATATTGACATAGGACAATACGGCTGCCACTAGTCTTTCAGGGTGTCGTATTATGGAAACGAGCAAGTCGTAATGGCAGGGTCTTTAAGTGTGAGGGGGAGCGCGTACTGCTTTCAACGTGAAGGTCTTCAAGTTGAAAGGCTGGGATATATATTCGTGATACCGTTGTCAAAGGTATACCCCCCAAAAAAATATGACCAGTCTCACGACTGGGAAACCTGTGTCCTGAGGTAGAGTCGAACTACTTCCGGACTACCGGCAGACAATCCACAGCAGTCGGAGGAGTGCTCACACATGGGAAATAATGCCAACTTCCCATGCCGCAAATGTCTTTGGGGAGTAACCATAGTTGAAATCCACAAGTGCTGTTTTGAAATTTCCAAGACAAATCTAGTAGACAATGCTAGTCTTTCAAGACGTCGCGTTAATGGAACAAGTAACTCATATCAAGTTAGATTGGGATTGCGTCTTCAATTCAAGCTTCAAGTTGAGAGGGCCCGCGGCATCGTTGCCAAGGGTAAAGCCCAATTAGCAAAAATATAGGCATCTCACGATGGACCAGTTATGTCGGAACGTCCCGAAGTATAATCGATTCAATCGAACTACCAGCCACTGTGAAAATGGAACGCCTCTCAAGCCACAATAATGCACGGTGGCTACTACTAGCCCTCAGGCCTCAGGGCCACCAGGACGTCGTTCCATTATTATATGGTAGCTCTTACCGGCTGACGGATGTCACACCCGACCTGCGATGAACTGCATGAAATAGAAAATAAGTGTGTGAAAACATTGGCTGCTCATACAGCATGTGTCTGGATCGGTAAAAGTTTTGGTCTGGGCTGACCCAAGAGCAAAAAATCGGACTGGGATAAAACGTAGTGGACAACGACCATTACTAGTGTCCCAAGTGGGATCGAACCACGAACTGCAGTTCAAACGTAATTGATGCCATCATACAAGACACTGCGGGCTACCACTAGCCTTTCAGGACGGCTTGTGTGAACGTCTAACTCTATTAAAAATTTAATCCAGGCGTATACTGACTCTGGTGGCAGACACGGATGCCAGCCAGTTTTCTCGGTGGGGCGTGTCGCGGCCGGCGCGGCGGCTCTCGCAGCTATTCGAGAGAAGCACCATTTCTTGAAGTATTACTCTCGGGATGAGGCACCACCAGCCCATGAATTCGAACACGCCGCCTCTGAAATCGGGGCTTCCCGTTTCCGTAACGGGGGCAGCCTTTCAGGAGTAATGCAGTTTGCTTGGTTACCATAACAACAGTGGCCGACATTGATGCCATGTGTGCGCTTAGACTTCCTTGACGACGAAACGACACGTGCACAAGGTGCCTAAAAGTCCGTAGACATGGTAAAAGGACAAGACAAACCTGATTTAATCGGCCTCAAAGCCACATGACTCGGCTGCCTCGGAGTTAACCGGGTCACTCCTCTGGAGCCGAGTTGTGCCTTGCTGGCGTCTTGACACACTTGGGCGTCGACCCTTTTGCAAGCATCCACGGTTTGTCTTGTCTACGGCCTACGGCCTGAGTGGTCCGTGGTGCGGGATTTATGTATGTATACAATACTAACACCGAACTCTTGCCCTCTCACAAGAGATTGCCATGTGGGGATACCCTTGTGACGCAAACCGCGCTCTGTGGTTCAAGCCTTGGGGCGTGCAATATTGACATCAGACACTACTGTAGTATTTTATTCAATTCGTATGTCACATGTCACACCACCAATTTTATATGAAAATTTTTCGTATGTCACAGGCATTTCTCGAAAATTGGCCTTCAAAAACGGCAAATCTCATCATTTGATCATCAAAAATCGCTTTAAAGGGAAATTTGATCCAATCATACGAAATTTTTAGGATCTGATGTGGTCACAGGTCAAAACCCCATACGAATTGAATAAAATACTACAGTACGGCTGCCACTAGCATTTCATAGCGGCGTATGAAACGAGCAAGTCGTAATGGCCTGAGGGTGTTGTGAAGGGGAGCGCGTACCGCTTTCAACGTGAGGGTCTTCATGTTCAAAGGCTGGGATACTATGTCAAACTTGGTAGACCCTCAGGCTCCCAAAAAATATGACAAGTCTCACGACTAGGAACCTGAATACATAAGTGTCCTGAGGAACTAACCATAGTTGAAGTCCACCCCAAAATAACAGTGCTGTTTTCAGGACAAATAGACAATGTTACTAGTAGGCTTTCAGGACGTCGCGTTATTGGAACGAGCAACTCATATGAAGTTAGAACAGGTGAGGTATGCTAAATGGCAGGATCTTGTGACTACAATCTCAAGTCGTATTTTCCTTTCGTCAATGCTTGGGCTTTCGTTTTCAATTTAAGCTTTAAGTTGAGAGGGCCCGCGTTACCAATGGTAGAGCCCAAGCCAAAATACAGATGGACTCGGTAACCAGTTGTATATGAAGCGTCCCTAAGTAGAATCAAACTCCCGGCCACAGTGAAAATTGAACGCCTCCCAAGCGACAATAATGCACTGTGCCCTCAGGGCCACCAGGACGTCGTTCCATTATCTCTTACTGGCTGATGGATCTGCGATGAATTGCATGAAATAGAAAATAAGTGCGGAGTTCTGAGAATATTGGCAGCTCATACAGCATGTCTCTGAATCGGTAGCTCTGACACTGCGAAGTTTCGGTTTGGGCTGACGAAAAATCAGGAAAAAATCAAACTACTCTGTACTATGTAGACTTAGCGTCCTGAGTGGAATCGAACCACGGACGATTGCAGTTCAAACATAAACAACTTCATACAAGGCACTGCGGGCTACCACTAGCCTTTCAGGACGTCTTATGTGAACGAGTAACTCTAAATGAACTAAAAAAACAATCCTGGTGAGTCCCAGCCTAACGCCTTCGTTCGCTTTCGTGGATCCCTGCCTTGGTGATTTAAACTGAATTAGTACAGAGTTCTACATTGAGTCGCTGTTCACCGAGAGATTACCAGTTGCAGAAGTCCTCCTGCGCTATCGCACCCGGTCGGCGCTTCAAGATCTGTGCCGCGCCATATATGTATACATGCGCATACCGACTCTGGCCGACCAACTAACAACCCACCTCAGAGAGACGGGTAGCGCTCCTACTTGGAACCGCAGAGAATGCGTGAGCGCGCGCGATTCAGGCCGTGCGCCGTGGAAGGAAAGCATGTCGAGCAATCTTGGTCTATTCTTGCTAAATATACTTATGCAAAGACCCGGGACGTCTGTGTACTGATCGTGAGGTCAAATAACGCGAGCTCGAGGCGCAGGTTTGGGAGAAGTAAATACAGTAGTAAGCCGTCGAGTGTTCAATTTGGTTTCACTGAAGTCGAAGTCGAGTAGGGCATGCATATGGCTGGATCGAGAGTCATAATTCGCAGTTTGACCATCTTGCAATTGTTTCCTTTCATGTTACTTATAGGGTAGCTCTCTGGAGTGCATGAGGGAAGATTTGAAATAAGTCATTCTTTGAGCGAGTCTCAGGCTGCATCGCCGGGACAAAGACGGCATCGTTAACAATAACAAACGGACAACAGGCTTGATCCGAGTAACAACGTTGTGCAGGCGGGAGGCGGTGACGATGGTGGTCTAACAGATTTTAGTGCTCAAGAAACGATGGACGGATGAGTGATTCTGGATGGTGCAAGATAGGCGGGCTCTAGACAGACTTGAGAGTGCAAACCGATAGACAGGCTCGTGAATGAACCCCAGACGTAGAGGACGAGCTTGATAAATATACCAGACCCGACTTGATCGGTGGGACATGACGAATTGGATTGGATTGATACACGGCACGGTGGATAGCAAATCGGATGGGGTTGGCATATCAAAGTGAAAGTCTTGTCGCTGCAAGGCATCCGACTTCAGAGCTTCCAGTTTGCCGGCCTTCCTCAGTCCTAGTACTTACCTTCTAGTGGTCGGTATACCCACCAGATCACGGAAGATCCTAAGGCAGTGGTGCTTGCGCAACATCTCAAGGCCTGTAATAATTCTGTTTTACCCACGGTTGACATATCAGATCGAAAGTGCAAGGCCTCCGACTTCATTGTAAATTGTGAGATATCTTTTTAAATCCTCTTTACTATGGGTTGATATACCCAGGGACACCCGGGATGCCAGGCTGGCTTTTTCGGAGCTAACATACAGTATTTAGAGTCAGCGAGAACAGAATTCACGGATGAATGGAGGACTCCCGGTCACTCACCCGGACTGAGAGTCATTGACGGTGTTGACGGGGAAACAATCGACGCGGGTGTGGTTCCAGACATTCAGGGACACAAACTGAGCTCGCGGAAGGAATAAGGCACGTGCTTGGTGACAAGGCAGGGGAAGCCGATACTGATCCGAATGCACGGCAGGGACCGCGAATCGAGCCAATTGAGATGCCACATTCAGTTCAACCTGTCTGATACAATGTTTTAGCGTGACTGTGACGGTGACTGCATGGATATTGCTTTCTGGTGGATAACCTAGCTTCAGACGACACCAAAAACATCTTGAAGCGTTCCCAGTTAATCGGCAACTTATCGACGGATAGAGCTAGCAGACCCGGCTCGTGCCACTGCTTCCAAGCACATATTGATTGCCGTGAATGTGTTGGCATTTTCCAAGTCAAGTGGGCAATTGTTGAGGCCCATCAGAGGTGCAGGCAATTTCCATTCAACCTGCCCAAATTTTTTGGTCAGACACAACCGCGCACAAGAAAATTCCCCAAAAAGATAAGTATGTAGGCTGGTGCTGGATCTGGTATCCACTTTAACCAATCTATATAACTGCACGCTCGGTGGATTCAACCAGGAAAAACGGGGGGAGTGAATGATGAGTCACGTGCCAGTGGCCAATTGCGCCCATTGTTTGTGCCAAGCAGCGCACTCCTCTGGCACTCTTTTTAAGCATTCTGCAAGCGGCAAGATTGATTCCACCTGCCTATTATTCTTTACCCTTACTTTGAGACCCAGATGCTCTCAACTGACGGCGTCGGACGTCAATCCTCGCCTGGCAGTGTTTCGAGGGAAGAGCCACGCTGTTGGAATGTAATCCCCGGGACGCGGCACCACCAACTCCTGCATTCGAATGAAGCACCTCTGGAATTTGAGCTCGCCGATATCGAAACAGCGTCGTCGGATATGGATGCGCACTTGGCTTTGCTTGACGACGAAATAGCGCGACTCAAAGCTCGGGTGGAGACCCGCCGCCAGCACAATCGTGCGATCTTGTCTTCACTCAGGAGGATACCGCCCGAATTGCTCGCCGAAGTTTTCCTATGCAGTTTGCCGCCAGAATATAACGATTACATACGGGGCAGATACGACGTCAAAGAAAGTCCTTGGGTGCTTACGCACGTCTGCAGCCGTTGGCGGACCGTTGCTCTTTCAACCTCTTCGTTGTGGTCGCGCATTGTCATCGCGTACCATCCGGGAGATGATTCTTCCTCAGCGTATCCATTACCTTTGGTAAAGGCTCACATCCAACGCTCAGGCTCCCAACAGCTGGCAGTTACGTTTCGCGGCTGCGAAACATCTGACTGGGAACCTCAAGTCGAAGTATTCCACTGTCTTGCGCAGCACTGTGGGCGATGGGTGGAACTGGACATGCGATTGACTTCACGGCTTTTACCTCTGTTGACTAGCCTTCGCGACCAGGTCCCATGTTTGCGCAAGGTTTGCTTGAGGGGGGAAAGCCAGCCAGACATCCTGTCTATCGACTGCTTCGAGACTGCTTGCTCCCTCGTCGACTTTAGCATCGTCATGCCCCACTACATCCCGATTCATCTTCCGGTGCATCAGCTTACTCGCTATTCAATGAGCGCCCCGTGGGATGTGCATCATAGCCTTCTGACACTGGCTTCAAACCTCGTTGAAGCGTGGATTGAACTTTGCGATGTTGACGACCAGAGGTGGCCGGAGCCCAGTCCAATCACTCTTCCGTTTCTCCGCCAGGTCGGTGTATCAGAACCAGAAATCCTCGATTATATCACTGTTCCAACTCTGGAAGGGATTGCATTCTACGTCGACGGCGATGATCTTGATTTCCAGCGCAGACTCGCATCTCTGCTTCACCGTTCATCGTGTTCATTGCGGAGACTTTGCCTGCATGGGCGGCCTACGGCTTGTGGAACGCTTGCTATTTTGCAAGCGGCTTCCTGTATTGTCGAGTTGGTGATTCTGAGCGCGTCCTACGAAGAAACTCCGCCGTTGGATGATGAAGCTACAGAGGTTAATTCCTTGATGTCAACTCTCACTGTCTCTAATGTTGCTGGACGTGCACCTGACTTGCGTTGCATGATTTTCGGATGTGACGGAAGACCATTCCTCGATTATGCAATCTTTCTGGAGATGATTAGGTCCCGCTGCAGAACAGCGCCCCGCCACATTGAGAGGGCTGCACTGGTCATTTGTGATGGCCCGCTGCCAGATCCCGAGACGCTCAATGCCCTCTACGCACTTCGACGGGAAGGACTGGATCTGTCCGTGTTCGAGGGAGATGCGGCTGATGATGCTCTGGATAGATTACGCTATATGGCTTGATTGGTGCATTAACTCGGTGTTTCTTGCTATTATATTTTCACCGTCTGGTGTACGAAAGAGTTCACGACGATGGGTCTGTAAAAGAGACTGCGGAAGAGAAACGTGGCGTTGTTTTATCGTCTGGCCGTCGCCGCTGCTGCAATTCATTTTTTATTCACCTCGCCGATTTTCCTCGATCATAAGTATTTGTGGTGGATGTACCTCAGTCCGCAGACCGCAGTGGATAGACATATGTGTCGAACTTGTCTTTGCAGTGCACAGAAATGACGGCTGTTGGCTTTGCATGCAGGTGGCTGTCGGAGTGTGGTTCTTGCAGAGAATGTAAGTGAGCTTGTCCCATTTGGGGGAAGATATTGCATGGCCTGGTTCAACGAGAGCACTACTCAGACTAGATAAAACGCAGCGCAAGAGACCAGACTGAGATGAAATTGCATGTCAAGCAATGTAACGTCTTTCCAAAGCGTATCAGCACCGGCGCTATTTGGCTATCGAGGCTGATAAAAAACCCGAAGGGAGAACAAATTTTCACTTCGCGAATATCGGAGCTCACCAGCATCCATCTCAGACTCAGTTTTCCCAGTTAAAAACAGAATCTAGGACACTAGCAAAAATACATGTGGTGTTTGTCTCCACTGTGCTCGTGATGCAAGCCATTTCCATTTTCTCAAATGACTTTCCTGGCTTCGAGCTTGGATTCCCAACCTTTAATTGAAAAGCACCGAAGTGGTACCTGACCAGCTGACATGTAAACAGTAGGGCTTTCGATTTGATATGCCAACCGTGGGCGAGGCTGTTGCATGAGCACCGCTGGCTAAGGATCTTTGGTGGCTGGTGGTATAGATCAGCCTATAGTAAGAAACGGGATTGAGGAAGATAGTTCAACTGGAAGCTCAATTTACGATGAGGTCGGAGGGCTTTTCCGGTTTGATATGTCAACCGCGGGAACAGAATTATTTCAAGCCTAAGATGTTACGCAAGCACCGCTGCCTTAGGATCTTCCGTGATTAGTGGGTATGTCGACCCCTAGAAGGTAAGTGCTAAGCCTGAGCAAGGCAGTCCAACTAGAAGTTCTGAAGTCGGATGCAATGCAGCGACAAGACTTCACTTTGATATGCCAACCGCAATTGAACAGAATTGCTACGGGCCATAAGATGTTGCATAAGCACCGCTGGCGTAGGATCTTCCATGAGCTGGTGGGTGTGTCTACCCCTAGAAGGTAAGAAATAGGACTAAGTAAGGAACTAACTGGAAGTTCGATTTACGATGAGGGAATGGCAAGATGC